TAAACCATTGATTTCTTTTTGTGTATGGGCATATCAGGCAAAGAGGGAATATATACAAATTAATACTTTAATGAGAATGATATTGGAATAGTGTGTAGAGAAATTAAAAATTAGAGTTGAGGAACTGGAATGGTTACCGACAAAAAGGTGACAGGGACGTTGATTAGGAGACGGTGATGTCCACTCCATAACTGGGATGTTTAATTCCAGTAATATATAAAGACGAATGAGGGTTAGAAATAATGACCTTTCCCAAATATCTATATTTTTTAAATCCTAGAGTTCCAGATATTTCAATTGTCATATTGTTTTGGCCTTTTTTAGGTTCATCACCTACTAGTCACCCTCATTGTAAATATGGTGTTTCATTAAAGAGAATTTTGCTCTCATTGGAATTAAGATTATTTGATAAAGCATATTTAAGTGTTGGTTTAGTAACGGTGACACCAGCTGATGTAGGCAGATTTTGAATCAAGGACATGGTGTCTGTGACATTGGTTCCATTTGTCATGAAAATAGAATCCCAAAAGACATAATTTTTGTTTCTCTTCTCTAGTAGTTTAAAAGAAGACAAGAAAAGAAACTGTGAAGTTTTAGATGAACAACAGTCATTAAATTTTAACTTTGAATTAAGTTTTCTAATTGTGTAAGATTTTTATACTGCCTAGTTTCCTATTTTTATTAATAATATAATGGCATTTAACTTATTCATAGATTAAAATGGAAATATTTAAAATTTGCATGAATTCAGATACTGGTTTAAAAGTGATACGAAATATTGTATGAATCCATATAAGTATTAACTTTTATGAAGAGTGAAATATTCATGTATAACTTTAGGTTTTAGTATTTTAATATTTGCTCCTTGGAATAACTCATACCATGTTTCCCCGAAAATAAGGCACTGTCTTGTATTTGCTTTTTCTCAAGAAGACACACTAGGGCTTATTTTCAGGGGATGTCCTATTTTTATGAAGTATAACACAACAATCTACATTTATTCAAATACAGTTAAGTCATCTTCTTCTGGAACCTGACAGGGGGGGCTGACCTTGTTGATGGCGCTAATGATGTGTGAACTCCTTTCCCCTAGCCGTTTGCACATGTGCCATAGGATGCCTGCGACTGAGGTTACCACACACGCACCTGCGTAAGTGTGAACTGTTTGGAGAAAGGAGCTAAGAGAAAGATACTCGGCCTAGCCACACTCATCACTAGGTCTTATTATTGGGGCAGGGCTTATATTTAACAAATGCATAGAAATCCTGGTAGGGCTTATTTTTGGGGTAGGTCTTATTTTCAGGGAAACATGGTAGAATCATCTATCTTTTATCAGTGTAAGTAGAAGAATTAGCAACTATGGCTATAGCTTTCAGAATCTTATTTTGCTTAATAATCACATTTAAACACAAAAATATGCAACAATTAAAATTAATATTCTTCTTCGCATACATTTAAAATGACAATATATTATGTTAATGAATAACAAAACCTCCATTCATACTTGTGACATCTATGTGTTTTTGGACTGGTAGTGGGAAGTTTTCTGAGTAAGGATTGATAGAATTAAGACACATTTTTGAAAATATTTACTAAACGTATTTTGTTTTATACAAAACTATAATGTAAATTAATAATTAGCAAAGAGCAAGTGAAAATACTTTGTGGGTGCTCTGCTGAAAGTCGAAGGTAATTCTATCCTGAGGATTGAGTATGTTTTTAAAACTCAATCTGGAAATCAACACCAAATAACTCCCCTCAGAGCAATACTTATAATATATTGCCACATGATTGCTTTTTCTAAAAACCAGCAGTGAAATCATGTTATTAAAAATATGTACACTATTTACAGAGTGTGCCAAAAATGTATACATATTTTAAGAAAGGAAAGAGCTGTATTTATATTTGCAATGCTCAAGTCACATTTGAGTTCTGCAGTTATAAAAGGTGCTCAGCGTGACTTGTGTTCATCTTTTTTACTGGTATTTAGTGAGTATTACAGTTTTAACACAGTTTTTCCTTTCTTAAAATGTGTATACATTTTGGGCAGTGCCTGTAGCTCAAAGGAGTAGGGCGCTGGTCCCATATGCCGGAGGTGGTGGGTTCAAACCCAGCCCGGGCCAGAAACTGCAAAACAAAACAAAACAAAAATGTGTATGTGTATACATTTTTTTCACCCTCTGTGTATTATTTTCTTTTCTCTAGTGCACATGTAAGTGTGTGCAGCTCAGCCTTTTAAAACTATATGTATCCAGTCTATTCCTATGCCCAATCTTTGATGATGTCACTTTGATGATTGTCACATATACATCTCACATTTTTTTGCAATTTATAATTTATCTTCCTGGGATTAATATTTACTTAAGGATCTTTACCAAGTTAGTTGACTGTATCTTATATCCCTGAGTATAAATACAGATATCATTCATTGTAAGGCAAGTTTCAGAATTTATTTTTAAACTCACACATGGAAATTTGACTGAGGATTTGCTGTGGTAATTAACTACACCGTTATTATTTAATTTTTAAAAAGTAGTGTTTCTTTTGAGTCAATCTACAGAAACTTCTATGATCAGAAAAGTAGAGAAGGAAATGTATATGTTAGCAGTACCCGATCTTAATATAGGATGGTTAGGAGGATGTACACTACACTGAAACTGTGTTATTAATTTCAATACTTTAGTCTTGACTTTTAGATTTAGTAATCATCAGAGCACTTACACCATGCCAATTAAATAGTACATAAACAACTAACTAAAGCCAAGAGCATTTTGTCAAATCTGCCTTTTATCTTAAGCCTGTTTGGATAGTCCTTTGACTAATATATAACAGCATAGAAATATAATTAACAACTTCCTCATAATGTCATAATTAAGAACTGTTTTGATAATTTAATCATCTTTTTCATTGAATTTTCTTTTATAAAGCAGTACTTCCTATGTAGTGACATGTCTTAGTTTCTTTTGCTTTCAATTATTATGTGTATTACAATAAAGAGATAAATGGAGCTGATGAGGTCTTTTAGATTAGGCTCTATGGAATGGTTACATCTTAATGGAGTAATCAGAGATATTTTTCTCAACTTTGTAGCTTTAAAAATTCAATTTTATTATTTCAGCCAGTAGGAACCAGGCTCTGAAAATTGATTTACACTAACCAAACACATTAGACTGACTTATAAGTGATAATACTTACCTTATTTGTAGAAGAGATTAGTATTTCCTACTAGAATACAGTTACATGTAAGACCTATGAGGAAAGAAACTGTGCCTGTTAGAATCATTGTTATATCCCTAGAGTTTAGAAAATTAATTTTTAATTACTTCACTAATAATTATTTAGTTTATTCTTAATGGCTCTTAATATCAAGTCATTTGGGAGTTGCATAAGTAATCAGTATTACCAGAAGATTTTTAGATGAGTGTTTAGAGAATACTTAGTAATATTTGCATTTGGTTTAATACGCAATTTACTAGTCTTATGACTTTAGTTAATAGTTAGCATTTCCTTACAGTAAACAGTCACCTCTTCTCAAAATAGCCACATTAAGTCTTACATACCTATAAATTGAAATTTGTATTAAATATAATTTTGATGACCTTTAAATATTGATTTAAATTTCATAGAAGCAAATTCTTCCCAGTGTATAATTAAAACACCAACTCTACCATCAATATTTCTTAAATGCTTTACTACTTTAATTTTTTCTTTTATATATATGTGTGCTTTTTAATGATTCTATAATGCTTTAATTTGTTAATTCACAAAAAATTATATGGATTTATGATAAACAGTGTGATGTTTTGATTCATGTATGCTCTAAGAAATGCTATGATCAAATTATACCAAATTTATAGGATGAGAAAGAAATGAGAAATTAGGTCTGTTAAGTTATCACTCCACTTTTTTTTTTTTTTTTTTTTTGGTTGGGAAAACATTTTACTCTCTTAGTAATTTTCAAGTATACATCATTATAAACGATATTCACCCTAGTACACAATAGATCTCTGTAACTTATTTATCTTGTTTAAATGAAACTCTGTACCCTTCGACCAAGAGCTCCCCATTCCACACAAAGCTGACCTCTGGTGACCACCGTTCTCCTTTCTGCTTTTATGAGTTCAGCTGTCTTATATTTCCACAAAGAAGTGCTATCAGTCGCTGCGTTTGGCTTTCTTCATTGAGCATGGTGCCCTCCACATTCATCCGTGTCAGAAATGACAGAATTTTTTTCTTCCAGCCTCTTTAAACAAGGAAAATTGTATATTACAATGATGCCAAAGCAAGTCGGTATCCTTACCCTGAAACTGGTTACCAATGTGCTAATACCAAGCATTTCTTTTCATCTTTTCACTTGTTTTTACACATCGCATATATGGAATATACATTTGCCTGGGGTTTTAGAAATGTCTGAATCTGTTTTTGTACTTTTCTATCACTTAGAAACAATATTAAACCTACAATAAAAAGATAATCATGTCTTAAATTGGAAACTTCTGGGTTGTTGACAGGTGGTGTTTTTTTTTGTCTGATCTTTTCTACACATTCAGAGACAATTCAAACCCAAGATACTGGCCGTAAGGTTAGACTTAATTTTTACAGATAAACTCTGCATGTTAAACCCTGATACCTTTTTTTTTTTTTTAAGTTAATGCCTAGCTTTTAATTCTGTGTAATACTAGAGTCCTCTCAGAAAGTGATTTTCTTTTTAAGTCACAACTTACTTGTGTTACATAATATTTTTCCTGCTATTATGTCATATGGACTTGGTATGTTAATGTTATTAAAAACATAGATTCTCCTTATTACTTCCTTATCATGTAGGAATATCTAAAGGTTTTATCTACCAGGAGATGAGAAAGTATTTCTGCTAAACTAAATATTTAGTTTAGTTATCACTTCCCCTTTGTGTTCTGCTCATTTGTCAAATGTCTGAAACCACAGCTGAGCCTGCTGAGATTGGGGTTTGTCCCTAACTGCTGGTTTTGCTTTTCCTCTAGGATGTTTTGAATAATTTGGGATCTTGTGACCTGGATGAAGATGATCTAATGCTTGATCTAGAGTTTTTAGAGGAACAGAATCTTCATCCTTCTGGTAAGTTTTGAGTAAAGGCACATTTCATACAACTCTGATCTTAGCCAATCAGCTTTCTTTTTTTTTTTTGAGACAGAGTCTAACTATGTTGCCCTCGGTAGAGTGCAGTGGTGTCACAGCTCACAGCAACCTCCTACTGTTGGGCTTAAGCAGTTCTTTTGCCTCGGCCTCCCAAGTAAACGGGATGACAGGTGCCTGCCACAATGCCTGGTTATATTTTTTTGTTGTTATTGTTGCAGTTGTCATTGTTGGTTAGCAGGTCCGGGCCTGATTTGAACCTGCCGGCCTCGGTGCATGGGGCCCGCGTTCTAACCAGTGACTGCCAAACCAGTCACTCAGCCTTCATTGATAAGCTGAATACTGTTTAGGGGGCCTGCTGTCTTTTCAGTCCTCAATTTTTATAGTCTCTTTGTGGGGAACATGGCAAGTACCATGGATACATGATTCTGGGGTTTTCTTAAATGATTCTAAAGTCTATTATGAAAGATAATTATAAATAATAAAAACTATAATCTTTCAAGAATCCATATCAAGAAGAATATTTTCAAAGAAGGAAATATTCTAGTCGAATACTTACTAATGAAAAAGTTAATGTTTTATTTTTTATGGTAGAAAACAATGATTACGATCTCATTATTCATTTATTTTATATAACCGAATGGGAGTTTTGTAGATCTAGATTTACTGTTCAAACTTAGCCACTTCTGTAATAACTACATAGGTTAATGTTGACACAATAACATTGATCTCAAAATTAATCATTAGCAATAGCAGCCACATAAACACATATATGCAGTTCTATATGAGATAAATAAATTATGATCAGTGAATGAATAAGAGAGCTCACGTATATCTGTGATAGTTCAAATTTATATTAGAAGATAAAATTTCACATCTCCAAATTGCAAAATAACTCTCTTTGAAGTACCTTATAGGAATTATTTGTTCATTCAAATTTAAATATTCAACACCACAGGTGACCTTTTACACTTAGATTTTTGCTGCTTATAATTCCTTCAACAGTCATTTTTAGTAGAAACAGCATTGATCTAGACCTACTGCATATGTTTAAGAAAGTAAGCCTCTTAGTTTTTAGTATTCTTATTTTTAACTTACACAAGTTAAACATAATTTCTACAGTTATTTTCAGCTTTAACATTTTATGGTGTATTTTTGTTTATGCAGAATGTTGATGTCACATGTCATACATTAACAGTGGTCAGAGGAAAACAATATTTGTATTTTCTTATACTTTTAGCTTAATTTCTGGTAAGAAATTGCTTTTAAAAATATTTAATTGAATACTGATTTAGGATAAAAATTCCGTAGGACAACTCATCCTGCATTTGATTTGACAGTATCCTTTTAAAATGTAGGTTTTTCTCAGTTTTATGTAGAAAGATTATACAATTTTTATTGTTCATGTCATTCATGTGTATTTGTCCTAAACATATATACAAGCTGGGAATGTGAAAAGGTATACCCCTTTGAAGGTAAATTAATTTGCCAGTTGTCTAGGAAAATTATTTACCTGTAGATCCAACAGTCCAACTCCTAGATAGCTAATCTCTGACAAAATACAAAATAGTGTATGCTTGTATATAACTGCTCATTGCACAATATTAGTGATAACAAAGTATTGGCGACACCTTGACTATTCATCCAAAGGACACAGTGACTATACAGTGGTGTATTCAACGATCATTAAAAGGAATGAGGAAGAGGTGCACAAGTGCTTGACTGCAAGGACGTACTGCTGATGGAAAACTTGTAAAGATGAATGAGGCTGGGAGTACCCAAGCTTGCTGATCAGTGTCCTACATCACTCAGTGTAATCAATAGGTATTTAGTTCCTCTTGATGCAACACTGAGCAAAGACATGGCACCGACAGAGCCCAGTCTGAAGTGTGCCCTCCCTCCAACCCCTTCCCATAAATGCTACGATCTATCTACGCAAGCAGATTGAACTTTGATTTTATCAGCAATAGGACATGGGCAGAGAGAACACTTCCCATGGCATGCCAGACTGCTATCAACCAAATAGAGATGTGGCAGTTCTGCAGGATAAGTGGTCAGGTTTCTTTAACAGATTAAATGACCTGATAAATGGGAACCGGTGATAGTTGTGTATTAAAAGACACAGATGCATTTGGCATCCTTGTTGTATTTAAAAATCTCTAAAGGCTTTATAATAAGTTGTTTCTAGGTTAATCAGAGGAATTATTAATATTAATTGAGTTATTATAGATTAGTTTATTTTCTTGGGTGTTGGAATGGTACTATTTGTTCGAAGGAAAGCTCTTTATAGGTATGTATGTGGTTGGAGAAATACAGTGTCTGGAATTTGCTATACCAACAAGTGTGGGAAAGACAATAGATGAAACAAATTCAACAAATTGTTGAAAATCATCAAAACTGGGGAATAAGTCATGAAGTGAAAGGTTCATGGACTAATTATAGCCTTCTATTTTTGGTATATTTTGATGATTTTCATAACAACATATGAAAGCAAGTAATACAGTTTTAAAAACTACACTTAATGTAGCATCCTAAGTCTTGGTAGTCAGCAAGGCTGCAGAACAAAGAATGATTTAAAAATCTGTGGACTTGACTCCAACGTATTTGCTTGGGGAAAACAATTAACCTCTTTTGTCTTGAATTTCTCTTTACTAAAGTATGAAATGATAATATGTACTTTATTAGTTTATTTTAACAAAAAATATTTAATAAATGCTGTAAATCGCTCATGAGTTTACCTCAAGGTATAGGTCTTTTGGCAAAGCCTAACCTAAGGTACCTTATGAATCAATTGAGTTATTCAAATTATTTATTAGATGGTGTTATTTGCATTTTTAAAGTGCAGTTTTGGTAGATGAAATATTACTTAGAGTGATTTGGATTTTTTAAATGCCACTTAATAAAATGTCTTTTGAAAAGCTATTTCACTTCAGATGCCATATTACGTGATTTTTAAAAGCAGCAAGTGTGTGTTTATGAACATCAGCTGAGAACTTCTGGTTGAATTGGTTTTATGAATTTATTTTCTTTATTAAGCAACATAATTAAAAATATTCTGAGATTATAAGATCATTATTGATAATTGATATTGACAAAAAGCTCATCAATGTTAAATGTTTTAAATGAAGATTTTAATAAAAGTGATTTCCCAAGTCCAAAAACTAAAATAATGGTATCTTTAAATTCTACGACTTACATTACTGGAAATCATTAACGCTTTTAAAAAGATTTCTTAAGATGAAGCACATTAATTTGTATCTGTAGAGGCTTAGTAAAGTAAATGTTTAGAGTAGTTTATGGGAAGGCTTGGTACAATAGTCAAATGAACTTTAAAAAAGAACAACAGAAGTGTTTTTGACTTGAAAATATTAAGCATACATTTGTAGTAATTATTGTTTAAGAAATTTTAAAAAATTATTCAGTTTAACATGTAAACAATAATAATTAGAGATTTTGTATTTATTTTTTTTTGAGACTGCTCACATTTAATGATTTAAAATACAAAGAGTTTTTTTTTGAGATAGGGTCTCACGATGTTGCCCTAGTTAGAGTTCTGTGATGTCAAAGCTCACAGCAACCTCCAACTCTGGGGCTCAAGCAATCCTTTTCCATCAGTTTTTTCCTTTTTTAGTAGAGACAGGGTCTTGCTTTTAGTCAGGCTGGTTTTGAGCTTGTTAGCTCAAGCAATCCACCCACCTCAGACTCCCAGACTGCTAGGGGTGCAGGTGTGAGCCACATGCCCAGCCCAAAGAGACATTTTAATGGGTAATAGAATATACAATAAAGTTAGTACACAATATTTTTACCAGATTTATGACAATGAATCTAAATGTTATTTTGAGTGTCCCATTAGCATATGTGAAAAAAGAAACGGATCAGTTGCACAATTAAAAATAAATGCTATCAATCAGTGAATGCATTTTTTTAAATAAAGGAACTTTTCTTACTAAAAACTGTAATATATTTT